GACCTGCCGAGGGAGCAGGTGTTGGTAGGCGGTGCCAGGCTGTGACGGATGCACGGGAGGCCCTACCCCCCCACGACAGCAGCACCGGGACCAGCCCCACAGCTGAGGCGAGCCGGCGCAGCTCCATCACCTCAGCAGGGGGACGAGAAAAACGGCCCCTGCCCTCGGACTAAAGCACCATCGTGGTGCTGCTGCTCTTCACGGGGCGGGGGCAGCAAAGCGTTGGCTTGAGGTGGGACAGGCCTCTAACCCGGTCAGGCCTCTGCCTCCGTAGCGCCCTCCAGATCAGGCCTCGTGCCTCGACAGAACTGTTGGTCACTATGGCGATGATGCCCTCGCGGGGTCTGTGATTTTACCAGACGTCTGTGGCTACTGCTGTCGTCCTGCCCCTGGAACCTGGACCCCATGCTCCCCGGTCCTGCAGCTTGTGGTGGGGGCTATGGCTGGGGCTGTAGGCCTCTGCCTCATGGCTTTGGCTGGGCACTAAAGCCAGGGCCACACACCATCCTTGTAGCTTCCTAGGGGTGAGCTTCCTCCCTCTTCTCCACCACCCCCATGGCTGTGGCTGGGGCTTTGCAGCCGGGGCCCCGTGGATGCCCCCTTCCCCCATCCCTGTGGCTGCAGCTGCTGCATTCAGGGTTGAGGGGTTCACTCTATGGAAATGGGGCTCGGCTTATTGGTTTCCCCCCTCCCAGGACTCTGGCCGTCATTCTCCCCCTCCCTGGTTATTTTTAGTAAAGCCACAGACGGGTCACGGGGCGCCCATGAAATGTTGCTTGTCGCCCAGGACCCGGCCGTGCCGTTTCCTAAAAAGAACCGGGATGAAATCTGAGCCAGCTGGGGATGTCCCAAGAGGGGAAGGTGGCTCTGGAGATGAGAGGGGGCAGGCCGCGGGGATCACGTCCACAGCCACGTGGGCAGGTGCAGCCCTTCCGCCCGTGCTGCTCCGGTCTGTCGCCAGGGCTGGCCGCAGCGCATTATTACTCACGGTACGAGTTTGAAGTGTCACAGCGCGTACCAAAAGTAATAATGAGCCGGCACCAGCGTCGCAAGAGGGGAAGGTGGCTCTGGAGATGAGAGGGGGCAGGCCGCGGGGATCACGTCCACAGCCACGTGGGCAGGTGCAGCCCTTCCGCCCGTGCTGCTCCGGTCTGTCGCCAGGGCTGGCCGCAGCGCATTATTACTCACGGTACGAGTTTGAAGTGTCACAGCGCGTACCAAAAGTAATAATGAGCCGGCACCAGCGTCGCCGCCACGCCCGTCCACGGGGCCCGGGAGTCACACGCAGAGGAAAGACGACGTTGTGTTGACCCAGTTGTCTCGCTGCTGGCCATGGGGTCCCCGGCCTGGCCAGGAGCTGGCTTCCCATCAGCTAGGGTGGGGGTCTCATCCCGTAACTGATTAAACCTCACAGCATGCTATTATCCCCATTACAGGCAAGGCTCCTAGCCCTGGTCACACGTCAGAATTGAACCCAGGAATTCTGGTTCCCAGCCCCCTGGGCTAGCGACTCCCACAGCCTCGTAAAAGCCCCGCAGTTGAAATTCAGCCCAGCCCTACACTGACAGCTGCACCTGCATGGGCTGAGGCTGTTCGCTGTTACCTGAGTGGTTGAGGGCAGGGGAGGCAGCGACCTCTGTCCCAGGGGGTGGCTGCAGAGCGTGGCATGATTTCCCGTTGGGGCTGAGCCTTTGCCCAGACGGACAGGCGCAGCGATAGCTCCCCGGAGTGTTGACACAATGCTGGCTGCAGCCGTGACTCCGGCCGGCGCATTCATCCACATCTGAAAGCAGAGAGGTATAGTCCTGGGGGGTCTGAGCTCATGTGCCATCTGGAACCCCCCCGGGCAAAGCCCGTGGAAGAAGGTGGCAGGTAAATCTGCAGTGCTCTGTGCTCACCCCCAGCAAGACGTGGTCCCCTCACAAAGCGCATAGGTGGGCCTGCGTGAGGGTTAGGAGTGGGAGAGCTTCGACTACAGAGCCGTCTGTCATTCCTTGGGGGACGGCTTAATCCGGGCCATAGTTTGGGGAGGCCTAATGTGGTGACAGCAGGCCGGATTAGTTTGAGAGCAACTATACCCAGCTGCCCGAGAAGAGACTCTCTGCTGTCAATGCAGCCTGCTGGAGTATCTCTTTGCACAGGCACTAAACGTCATGGCCCTAATTCTCCACCGTGTGACTCCCATTTCATGCCTCTGTTGCTACACCAGGAGTAGCCCCCTGACACATCAGTCCCAGGGCTCCTCCAAAGGGCAAAACCAAAGCCCCTGGTCTGAACACTCCCAAATTCTGGCTCTACATCTAAACATCCTCTGTCAAAGCAGCACCGTCGTCTCTCCAGCCTCCCCCCTGCAGCAGCAGCCTGCCTGCTGCTGTGTTCCTAGCAAGGCAGAATGGGAGCAGTCCAATGATTTGCCTTGTTTGTGCCCCAAACAGAGCAGCTCACTCAGTTATCAGACGCTTCTCGGAGCTTTGAAAAGGGGGCGGGGGGGAGAGCGTGCACAGGGCTGCAGGGCAGCAGAGATCACAAAACACTGAGCAAAGCCATCAGGAGCCATTATGGGATACTAATAAAAACCATTTCTCTTGACAAAACAAACAGCAGAGTCCACGCTGGCTCTTTGTCAGCAATAAAGGGAGAGGAAAAGACAAAAGACTCTTGCAGGAATGGACGTTTTTTGTGGCCAAAACTGGGTATTTTTCCTGACAAAAGTCGCATTATGATGCGTATGCGCTCACAGTTTTGCCGCCAAATGGCAGTTTTTGGAGACAAAACGTGCCAGTGTAGACAACGTCTTACTCTTTCAGCCAAAGGGGCAGAGGCCTGGGACTCTGGTGGTGCCCAGTTCAGGGTCACTCCCTGCTGAGAGCCAACAGGGGAAACGGTTAGGCCTACACCCTCTTCCCAGGGCTACTGGCTAATACAGGAGATGGTTGTCAGCTACTGCAAATCACCTTCTACAAGTCAGCCTGACTTATTCCCTCCCCTGCCCCTACACTGCCGGAAACTCCAGCAAAGACACTGGGATACACAACTGGGAGACCAGCACTGTTACCTGTCTGGCAGGATTTCCCCATCCACCCTGCGGGGCAGGTGCATCTGTCTGGGGCTGAACAGCTCCCACCGTGTTGACACGGCAACCTGCAAATTGCTGTAAAACAAAAGCGCCAGGTCACGGTGTTGCTGGGGCGAATGTCTGGGCGTCCCGACACCCGCACGTGCGCCCTCCCTCACAAACGCCTCGGGTCAGGGAGACTTTACTACACAGACAGTAAACTGCAGGCGCCCCTCAAGCGAAGCCCCAGATCTGGGCCGGAGTCTAGAATGGCTCTGAAAGCAGACGGGCCTGCTTTCCACGAACGCCGGTCTTGCATTTGTAGCTCAACCCGCTGCAGCCCTGGAAAGAAGACGCCATCCTGACAGCATAGGAAGTGGGAGTCACAAAGGGGAGGGGGCGTCAGTAGCCACGCTCGCTCAGTGAAGGGCTTGGGGGGGGGGCGTGTTATTCTATCGCAGTCTAGTTTGGTCTGGTAAGAGCTTCGCATCCAATGTGCTTGGCGTTGCTTTTGCGCGGCACATCACTTTTTCCCCCGCAAAGCAGAGCTGTCCCATTACTGCTGATTTATGCGGAAAGGGTTTCTTCATTTCCCCTCGGGTACAAGCCACGCTAAGAAAGCGATATGTAAGCCAGGCGAGCAAAGTGGCAAAGAATGGCTGTACACGCCCGGCTAATTGAAACCGATCTGTTCTCCAATGTGAGTGCTGGAAGGACACGGGACTGCTTAGTGCAAGAGGGAATTACGCTGGGTTCAGACAGACCTGATAACAAGGGAGAAACTGGGCAGGATTTTCAGGCGCATTCTGTGACCAGAGAGATGCTGAGAGCCGTTTACAGTGTGTTAACAGCCCGTCTATGCTCTATTCCCCTCCTCACTAGCACAGCCAATCCCACCAACCACTGGTGGAGATGCGAATACTTTTCATTCAGGCTATGTGTACAGTACAGTGTTTTCCCGGAAAAACTCTGCTGCGTCCACGGAACGTGTCCGCTTTTTGGGAAAAGTTTCGGAAAAAGCGGGCATGTTCTTTTGGAAGCCCTGTATTCCTCGTTTTGGCTATGTCGACACTGTGTTCTTTTTTCGGAAAAAGATATGCAGATTGCAAATCACAATCACTTCTTTTGTGGAAGAGGCTTCTCCGACATTTGGCCCGTCTACACTGGGCCAAATGTTGGGGAAAACCCCCCCCCTTTTTTGGAACATCCCTTCTTCCTCGTAAAACAAGATTTACAGGGATGCCAAAAAAGCGCATCTGCTCTTCCGAGTTTTTCTGGGATATCAGCGGTATCCCGGAAAAACTCTGCAATGTAGGCATATCCTTTATGAGGAATAAGGGCTCAGCAGAAAGTTTTCCCCACTTTTGGTCCCGGGAAAAAAAGAGGGAAAAGATCGCAACGTAGACATAGCCTAAGAGACTTCCACACAGAAAGCTCATTGCTATTGACTTGGCAAGAGCCATGAGCAGATCACATCCTTTCTGGTGCCTCAGTTCTCCCTTCGGTGACCCAGAGGTTCTAAATACCCCTCCCACGTCCTCAAGTCAGGAGCAGAATCCGCCCCTCTGGACTGTCGATCCTCTAGGCCGATGCTGTCCTTCTCGCAGCCCTGGGACCGATTCTGCTCTCGTTTACACCAGGGTAAATCAGGCAGAAATCCACCGACGTCAATGAAAAAAGACAGGTGTCAAACTGGTGTACGGGAAAGCAGGACCAATGCGCCGGAGGGGCGATGCTGCAATCTCATCATGACCCCTATTCTGCTCGCGCTGCCCTCGTTTACCTTTGCTGCATCCGACCGCGTGGGCGCTTGCTCGTCTCCATCCGGGGCAGCACATATACACGGGCTGGGAAAGTCTCTGGAAGGCCTGGCGATAGGCAACCTTGTATGTGGTTCTGCAGTAAGGTTCGGGAAAGGTGTTAGGGACTGAGCCGGTACGGGGTGAAGAAAGAGCCAAACCCTGCCTCGGCCTGGCTCCAGGGAGCAGTGGATCAGCCCTGTGCCGCTTACTTCCCTTGCTCTGTCCGCTTGGCCGTGCCCACTCCAGGCTGATGTCCTCCCAAGATTGGGGCTGTGTCCTTACCCACACCAAGAGCCAGGTAGCTCTGTCTCTCCCAACAGGGATCTGGGGGAACAGGCTTCCTCCCTCCCTGTATGCAGGCATGTGAGTCCCAGGGCACGATCGCGCCTTCTACACCGGGGACAAACCCTTTGCTAAGACACTGCGTCTAGGGGCCAGTCTGTGGGCTCCGCATGGGCGTCATCCAGCCCCGGCGTGGACAGGTGATTCCAGACGCCGCCTGGTGCAGCGACAGCCCCCGTCCTTCCTCACCTGTACGTACTGCAGAGCCGGTATCCCTGGCACGTCGTGAGGTAGGGCTGGTAGACGGGCTGCACGTAGGACTCCACGTACGGCACGGCTCGGTTCTGCACCGCCGCGGTGCACACTCTGCGGCTAGACACAAGGCAGCGAGTCTCACGCAAAGGGAAAGCCACAGGGATCAGCAAAGGTTGGAGGGCGGGGAAGGGATGTGACATGAAAACCAAGGCAGGAGGCCAAATCCAGCTCCCGTGCAAGAGGATGCCATGCCACGGTCTTCTGTGCAACTGTGCCCTTACTCCTGGGCTTGATTTGGCCATGGGGAAATCTGATTCTCAGCCAGGGGTGATGCTCAGCTTGTGAAGGCAAAGACTTTCATGGGGGTTAAAAAAGAGGTAGATAGCCATTGATGGACCTACCCTCCATGGGGTGGGAGGAGGGGTGGGACTGGTGTCCCTAGCCTCTGTTTGTCTGGAAGATGTATTAGCCAGGAGGCGTGGGACTGGAGTCCCTAGCCTCTGTTTCTCTGGAAATGGGTGACAGGAGAGGGATCGCGTGAGGATTACTTGTTGTGTTCCCTCTTTATGGGGCACCTGGCATTGGCTACTGTCAGCAGACAGGATCCTGAGCTAGATGGACCTTTGGTCTGGCCATTCTTATGGTCCCATTCCTTCAATGAAGCTGCGTCAATTTCCACTGGCGGAGAATCTGGCCAAGAACCTCGAACAGACTCGGGTAAGCTGCAATTGCTAAGGTTCCCTTCATTCCTCCGCTCTGGTACCTTTGGGAAGAGGAGCCAATACAGGCTTCTAAAACTGAGCTCAGGTAGAGCCTGGGCATATCCGCTGTGCATCCTGCCACGCGGCTGCGGGGAGTTTGCACGCCGCACATCTCTCGGAGAGGTTCTACACTCCCAGGTAGGCTCCCTTCCACCCTCGAGCTGCAAGGCTCCCTCTGATTGGCCAACACATTGTCACCGGGAACAGTGCACAGAGACCTACGCCGGCTGCTGTACAATTACCGAGCGAAGCAGAGGAATCCAACCCCCCCAGTGAGGGAATCGTTTCCTCGGGAGCAGCAGACAACACCCCCACAGTATAGGGGACATGGCAACGCTGTAAGAAAAATCATTCGCTTTTTAGCGGGCCTTCCATTTGTTTTCATGCCATGATTGTGGCGACACTGGAAACACCTGGGTGATGACCAAAAATCAACAGCGAGGGCCAGATTCTGCTCAGCGGGATCAAACCCCTTCCACCAAAGTAGCTCTACATTTGCACCGGGGCGACTGAGATCAGGATCTGCCCTCTACCCCAACTACACCCCCCGCAAGGCAAAAGTTTCATGCAATTCACCCTACCCTGACCACACCCCCCGCAAGGCAAAAGTTTCATGCAATTCACATCCAAAGAGTTCTTGGTTAAGGACGTTGGCACCGTTTTGCCTTTTGCCAGCTGGAGAGGTGCTGTTCCACTGGATGCAGTCTGGTACAGATCTTAGCCTCTGGAGCAGATGCCCATTAAGAGACCCAATTATTTGTGTCAGCCCCTCAGCCAAATTAGAAACTCGAACTAAAGTGCTGAAAATTAATACTGACATCAGATGCCTTCCGTTAACTCCGGATAACTCATTTCGCCCTGCTGGATTCGTGGTATGGGAGAGGCAGTTCTGCTGACATTTTTATTAAGCTATCTCTGCTCTGGACGCGTGGATATATCTCAGCAGCCAGTCTTTCTTCCCGGAGAGTGAGTGCGCGTGCATGTGCGGAAGACACAGAGGTTCAGCTTGAGGACTTCATTACTACAGGATGGCAAAAGATTAAGTGCTGTAGCAAGGGCTAGATCCCTCACTGCCGCAGTGTCGCCAGAAGGGCTCACTTGAGTGGACCCTGATTTCGAGTGGGCAATGATGGGAGGGGAGATTAAACCCCAGCATCCCAACCCTGCTCCTGGCCGGAGCACTGGGCACAGAGGGATCAGCCCTCGCACCAACGCCCTGCTCCCTTGCCAGAGCCAGGTCGGTCCCTGCACCTGGCCTGCATGGATAGACCTGGAAGCAAAGTGGGTGGGCTATGGCCCACCGGGGCTACACCACTGCCTCATTGTAGAATCTGTCTAGGTAGGTCAGAATTACACAAGTGGGGTCCAGACAGAAATATTTCCAGGAGGAGATGAATTAACTGGGGTGCAGAATCAAATCCAGACTTCCTAAAATGTCAACATAGCCATCAAGAGGAAGTCTTGCTTTGGAACTGGGTTGCTAGTTTGACCCATTACAGAGCTGAGGGTTCATTGTGACATAGCAGACAAATTCCAAAGAATGCCAAGATCTACGCTACCCCAGGAGGAATGTGCAAATTTTCCTCTTATGCCCTATTTAGCTTTTTGATTCCCCACGCCAAGTGGCGAAGACACTCTCTTTGTATATGCTGCATGAAACTCAGCTGATTCTCTTGAATGTATTTGGAGGACTTTCTGCTTTAGAGATGTAGCAGACAAATGCCAAAGTTTTCCGATCCTGAATTTCCCCACAGTTCAAAGTGTATTTGGAGCCAGAGGTTTGGTTTAGATACTATTAATAATTATTTTATTTTTAGTAATAATAATAGTATTAATAAGTAATAATTAATAGCAATTATGTGTGATCAGATAGGAGACATCAAATCCCATGCTTCAGGACACACACAGCCACTGTGGTCAGGAAGGAACTGTTCCACCGTCTACAGCATTGCCCACTTGGCTAAGTACACTGAGGGCGCGAGAGTTTGCCCTCGCCTGATACGTCACCCAGCCATTCGTGTGTACGTGCACATTGACACGTGTCTGGGGGCGTGCAGCAAGAGTGTGCACGTGTGTGAGTAAACACGCGGATGGGTGTGGCGGTGGAGTGTGTGCCCTTATGCTCGAGGGGGGGTGTACACCCTCAGGAGTGTGCCCTAATGACACAAACCATTAGCAGCTTATGCTCTATTTAGCTTTTTGATTCCCCACACCAACCGGTGAAGACACTCTATACTGCACGGAATTCAGCTGATTCTCTTGAATTTATATGGAGGACTTTCTGCATTAGAGACGTAGCAGACAAATTCCAAAGTTTGCCAAGACCTACGCTACTACCACAGGAGGAATCTGCAAAGTTGCTTCTTGCCTGGCCCTGCACGTGAAAACTGCTTATTCCCATGCAGCAGACTGGCTGAACGTGGCCTTTAATGCCTCGAGGCTAGCCCCTGAAAAGGCTTCTCCTTGTGTGTGTGCGGCAAGCTAGACGTCTGAAGTCTGGACAAAGACGAGACTTACCCTGACCGGGCAAAATGCTCCGTGCTGGTCACGCCCAGGAGGACAAATCCCGTGAGGAGGCAGAGGATGGTCTGCATTTCCTGTTCTCTGCGGGGTTTTTCTTTTCTGCCGTGCAATATTGTGTGGCATGAAGGAGTGTCGCTCCTGGCTAGGAAGCACCAGCGTTTACTGCATGTCTCTCCTCAGTGGGGAACCCTGGAAGCAAAAGAATAACACTCTTACCATGCAGTGTCCATACTAGGGCTACATCTAGACTGCAGGCTTCTTTCAGAAGAACCTTTTTTTGGAAGAGATCTTCAGGAAAAACGTCTTCCGAAAGAGCGCATCCACACACAAAAGCGCATTGAAAAAACGATCTGCTTTTTCAACAGATGGGGTATGTCTAGACTACATCCCTCTGTCGCCAGAGGGACATAAATTAGACATACCGAAATTGCTAATGAAGCGGGGATTTAAATATCCCGCTCTTCATTAGAATAAAAATGGCCACCACTTTTTGCTGACGCTGCACTTTGCCGGCAAAAAGCGGCAGTCTAGACGGGGATGGGTCGACAAGGAAAGCCTTTTCTGATAGATCCTGTAAACCTCGTTGCACGAGGCATAAGGGATCGGTCAGAAAAGGCTTTCCTTGTTGACCGATCCCTGTCTAGACT